TATGCCTACATAAAAAAATTTTCAGAGATCTCATACTATAACTTAAAAGCACACATGAAAGCTTTAGAACAAAAACGAGAACACCCCACCCCAAAGGAGTAGATGGCAAGAAATCAATCCAGGACTGAAATCAATAAAATAGAAACAAAACTAAACAACAACACAAAGACTCAATGAAACAAAGAGTTGGTTCTTGGGGAAAATCATAGAAGGTCAAACTCTTATCCACATGAACTAAAAGGTGTAGAGAGAATATCCAAGTTAACAAAGTTAGAAATGAAAGGGGGACTTAACAGACACTGAGAAAATCCACAAAATAATAAGAACATACTTAAAAATTGGAAAAGTAAAAAGAAACAGATAATTTTCTCCATAGGTACCACTTACCAAAGGTAAATCAGATAAGCAAATTAAACAGACCTGTAACTCCTAGTGAAACAGAAGCAGTCATTAAAACCTCCCATGCAAAGCTCGGGCCAGATGGTTTTATCACAGAATTCTACCAGACTTTCAAAGGAGAGTTAATGCAGATACTCCTCAAATTATTCCATAAAATACAAACAGAAGGAACATTGACTAATTCATTTTACAAGGCCAGTTACTCTGATACTCAAACCACATAAAAATCCAACAATGAGTGGGCAGCAGTGGCTTGATGGCACAGCACTTTAATCCCAGCACTTGAGAGGCAGGAGCCGGTGAATCTCTGTGAGTTCAAGGCCAGCCTGGTCTACAAAGTGAGTTCCAAGACAGCCAGGGCTACACAGAGAAACCCAGTCTTGAAAAACAAACAAACAAACAAACAAACAAACAAAAAACCCCAACAAAACAAAACAAAACAAAAAGACCCAACAATGAGAAAGAATTACAGACCAATTTCCCTTATAAACATAGGTACAAAAATAGGTACAAAAATATTCAATAAAATACTTGCAAATTGAATCAAGAATACATCAAAAAATCCACCATAATCAAGTAGGCTTCATCCCAGAGATGAAGGGATGATTCAACATATGAAAATATGTCAATGTAATCCACCATATAAACAAACTGAAAGAAAAAAAACACATTAGATGCAGAAAAGGCCTCTGACAAAATCCAACACCCCTTGATGATAAAAGTCCCAGAGAAATTAGTGATACAAGGGATATCATAAAGGCATAATATAATAAAGGCATTTTAAAAATCAAAGAAATTCTAGTAAGACAGGGAATAAGACAAGGTTGTCCACACCCTCCATACCTATTCAATATAGTACTTGAACCCTTACCTAGAGCAATAAGACAACTGAAGGAGACCAAACAGATACAAATTGTAAAGGAAAAAGTCAAAGTATCTTTATTTGCAGATGATATGATAGTATATATAAGTGACTCTAAAAATTCCACTGGGAAACTCTCACAGTTGATAAATACTTTCAACAAACTATCTGGACAAAAGTTGGGCACTGGTGACACACACCTTTAATCCCAGCACTTGGGAGGCAAAGGCAGGGGGATCTCTGTAAGTTCAAGGCCGGTCTGGAGTACAGAGTGACTTCCAGGACAGGCTCAAAAGCTACACAGAGAAACCTTATCTTGAAAAAAAAAAAACTAAAAGATGTAGCTGGACGCAAAATTAATTCACAAAACCTAGTAGCCACCCCCTACATACAAATGATGATTGGACTGAAGAAGAAATCAGGGAAGCAACACCTTTAACAATAGCCTCAAATAATATAAAATAACTTGGGCTATCTCTAACTAAGCAAGTGTATGATAAACTCCTTCAGACATGAAAGAAAGAAATTGAAGAAGATATCAGAAGATGAGAAGATGTTCCATGCTCATTGACTGGTAAGAGTAACAGAAAAATGACCATGCTAACAAAAACAATCTAAAGATTCAGTCAATCCCCATCAGAATTGCAACACAATTCTTTATAGGTCCTACAAGGCCAATTTTCAGGTTCATATGGAAACACACACACACACACACACACACACACACACACACAAAGTATAGAGAATTTCTGAGAGTTTCACCATTCCCAATTTCAAGTTGTACTACAGAGCTATAGTAATAAAAACAGCATGGTATTGGCATTAAGAAAAAACCAGATATGTTGATCAATGGAATCAAATTGAAAGCCACACTCCTACAGACAGTTGATTTTTGATAAAAAGCCAGAAACAAACACTGGAAAAAGATAGTATCTTCAACAAAATGGTGTTGCTAAAATTGCAAACTGGATGTCTATACATAGAAGAATCAAAATAGATCCATAATTATAACCCTCTACAAAAATCAACTCCAAATGCAAAAAATCTCAATAAAATACTGGCAAATTGAATCCAAGAACACATCAGAGAAATCATCCATCATGATCAAGTAGGCTTCATCTCAGGGATGCAATGATGGTTCTACATACGAAAATCAATCAATGTAATCCACCATATAAACAGACTGAAGAAAAAAATCACATGATCATCTCACTAGATGCCAAAAAAGCCTTTGACAAAATCCAACACCCCTTCATGATAAAGGTGCTGGAGAAATCAGGGATAACAGGAACATACCTCAACATAATAAAAGCAATATACAACAAGCCGACAGCCAACATCAAATTAAATGGAGAGAAACTCAATGCAATTCCTCTAAAATCAGGAACAAGACAAGGCTGTCCACTCTCTCCATACCTCTTCAATATTGTCATTGAAGTTCTAGCTAGAGCAATAAGACAACAAAAGGAGATGAAGGGAATACAAATCGGAAAGGAAGAAGTCAAACTCTCACTATTTGCAGATGATATGATAGTCTACAAAAGTGACCTGAAAAACTCTACCAGGGAACTCCTACAGCTGATAAACACCTTCAGCAAAGTGGCAGAATACAAGATTAACTCAAAAAAATCTGTAGCCCTACTATATATGGATGACACATTGGAGGAGAAAGAAATCAGAGAAACATCACCCTTTAAAATTTCCACAAACAACATATAATACCTTGGGGTAACACTAACCAAAAAAGTGAAAGAACTGTACCATAAGAATTTTGAGTCTCTAAAGAAAGAAATTAAAGAAGATACCAGAAAATGGAAAGAGCTCCCATGCTCTCGGATAGGTAGGATCAACAGAGTAAAAATAGCAATCTTGCCAAAAGCAATCTACAGATTCACCAATGACAGTCTATGTAGGAGAGGATGTGGAGATACAGGAACACCCATACATTGCCAGTAGGAGCACAAACTTGAAGACCACCTTAGAAATCAGTATGGCAGTTTCTCAGGAAAATGGGAATCATTCTACCACAAGATCCAGCAATTCTTCTCTTGGGCATATACCCTACACATACGAACACCCGATTTTTGACAAACAATCCAAATATATATGCTGGAACAAAGA